ACCCGGTGCCATTTGATCCACGGACCGGCACCGGTTCGCGGACCGGGGGTTGGGGAAAACTGGTTTAGACTACTAAAGTCGAGGTTCCCATTTTTCGTGACTGCGGAATCACCTCTCTTTTGACACAATCCTAACTTTATAAATAAAGCATATAAGAACAATTGTGAACGTATTAACTAATAAGAGGTTTTATTTTAACTTCATAAAGCATACCAGAATATTAAAAAGAATAATGGGTAAATATCCTAATATAATTAAAATGTTTACTGGTTAAAAAAATAGTCAAAACTCTCGGAATCCATTGAAATTTTCCAATGGAACTCTAGAATTCAGTGGAACATCATTTGGGAACCGCTGTACTAAGGGATCAAATTTCTCGTTAATAACCAGTGCGAAGGCATTCCCTTTATTTGAAAGAAAACTAACCTGCAATTGGGGATACGTAAATACGAAAACCTTTTAACCTTTCGCTAGATATGTCTGCCCCTATAGTAAACCTTCAACTCATAACTATTACACACGCCTAAAATGTAAAGCATTCCCGCAAACAACTCGTTGTGGGTCAAGAATGTCATAGAGGTTAAGGCTTCACAATTTCGATCCGCTTTTACTTCCCGGACAAACTAATACCCATCGATTTGAAGCTGTGTGTCTTCAAGCAGCTACTGGGGATCGAACCCCAGTTTTTTCCAGTGACAGTTCAGTCCCTAAACCACTGAGCCATCACAACTCCAACATCTAATAAAGCAAATAAATGAAAAAAATACTTCAGCTATGATTTTCTTATACGAGTAGAGGTTTTTAAGAAAAAATTTCTGTAATTAAATGTAAATGTAAATTTTATTTGCTCATTCCCTGTTTTGGCAACTTTTTTAAGCTTTTTACTATTGTGTTTGTCAATCGAATCGAATTTTCAGCCTTGAAATAGGAAATAATGTGCTTTAAACCTTAGCATTTCTTTATGTATGTGAAAAAAAGAACCTTGGAATTCGCTCAATTTCTTTTGTAGTTTTCATTGCAATGTCTTCCATGAAAACTCCGCACGCTTTCTTATTTGACCTTTCTTTAAAATTCAGAATATTCAAAAATGTTAAGTAATTTTCAGAATTAAAATATTATTATTCAAACTTACCTTGAAAGAACCTCAAACAATACAGAGATGTTATTATGACATTTGAATAGGAAGTTGATAATAATGATCATACATTGAAACAGAATGTTCCGTAATGTTTTTCCGCCCTCTTTTGTTTTTAGTTTTAGAATATTTACAAAAATAGACACTTGGGGTTCAAAATTGACATTAAAATAATCAAAAACTAGTTTTTTTGTCTAACAAGACTCACATGTTTGACAGAAATGGATTAAATAAGAAGGGCAAAATTTTAACTTATATATTTTCTCCGATTTATTTATTTCGTATTTTTAAATACAAAAGCAGATAGCAAAAAAAAAAAAAAAAAAAAAANATAAAAAATGCTGACAAAAAAAAAAAAAAAAAAAAAAAAAAAATTCTTTTTCTTTTCTTCCAAAAGCCTTCTTAGTAACCATTTTTTTTTTTACAATTTTCATTTCTTTCATCAATTATAAAATAATAATTTCATAATAAGGATTTGTTTAATACCGTTGTCACTTGATTTAACGTCGACAATGGTTGGTCAGATTTATATATAAGATGTTCTCTTTTTTTGTCCCTTAAAAAATTAATTATTTCCATTCAATGTTTAATTTTTCTAATTAGCTGATTCTTTTCTAATTAGCTGATTCACTTTTTATCATTCTTTGTTCAAAACTTCTATTTAATCACTCACTACATCAAGACTCATTTATAAAAATGGTTACCACTAGAAAAAATCTGTATTTAAAAAAATTAAAAGTATAAAATCATAAAACTTAACGCGCTTAAATTTAGCTATTTAAAGACGCATATCAAAAAATCTATAAAGTTATTTCGTATACGTTGAGCAATTAGGTATCTGCAAGACCGCTACAATCAGCTGGTTGTGTATTAAAAAAATCGACATGTTAGCGTTACAGCAATTAGACTTGGTTTATAATCAAGCTGAATTAATTTTCAGATCAAATTCAGTAAAGTACCTGCAAGCGACGTCTCACGTGGGTGTCGAACCTGATTAGTTACCGAATCATTGCACTAACTAATGCTAATGCCATAATTTGGCAGCCAATTAGATTTGACAACCGCGCGTGACGTAGCTTGTCGATACCCAGTTGTTATAGTAATGAAAAATATCAAATGACTCACGTTATTAAAGGACACGAGCTATTAAATGATACGAACTACCAAAAGTCAAGATTTTCTTACTCAATATTAACATAGGTTTGTAAACCTATTAAAAAATGAAACTATAAAGGAAGGTTGTTGTTGTTATTGTTGTTACTTTACGTCGCACTAGAGCATATAAGGGAAGGATTAAACAAAGTTATTTATTCAGTCGTGACTTGAAAGCTAAGCCTCTTACGATAAACATTATATAATTCGATTGAATTTGAATTCAGGAACGAAGTTGTTTATCTTATGATTTACAATTAAATTTTAAATGATAAGAAATTTAACATTAAAAGGTCATAGGAGGAAGCAAATCATGGGAAAAATAATTGATTCCAATAGAATTACAACATAATTTTTCTGAAATAGGGTCTAGCAAATAGTTACTAGTTGTTGAAAAAGTTCTAAAGCAGTTCGGCAGTAAATTTTTATAAATAATATAGCTTAAAATGCGTGTCTCAGAAAGTAGTCGTAGTTTGTGTGTGTGTTTGAGAAAACAATCATAATTTAAAATTCGAGTTTTAAAAAAATGAAGAAAAAAAACTAGGCATGTCACAAAACAAGCCTTAAAAGGTTGAGGGATGAACCTTAATTTTCAACACCTGAATTACTTAAAACTACAAAGAGCGTACCAAATCAATTTGAAAATTCATGTCAATTTTTAAATGCATTAAGAATAGTTGCTTTGAATCTCGGGTTTTAGGATAACCTTGCTGGTCGAAAATATCTAAAATAACTAAGACCTATCCTTTAAAAACTGCTGACTAATAGCATTAAATTAACATTTTGTACAAGTTAATGAATAAGTCAATTATGTAATATGAACTTATATGGATATATGAACTGATTTTTTAATATTAAATACTCATAACAGTAGTTTAAAAACTGGAATCAAATCCTAAGCTCATTTAATAAATTCTCATTCCATTTTAATAAATGTTTATGTCCACTTTCATAGAGACGCTTTTTGAGATATGTTTACTTTTTTAAGCATGCATTTAAAGCTCTATTANGCCAGCTAGCAGGGGGCGAAGCCTCCTAGTTATATATTCATACACAAGTATATGTGCGTATTTCGTTTCATTTTATGAACATCCGACCCAATTCTGAGTTTACGATTATCAACTCCGCAGTTTTAAATAAATCCCTGAAGAAAAAGAAGCTCTTAGATCATATATTGGAACAAACTAGCCAGAGTGGAGGACTTTTATGAATGGAACCAACTCGCAATTGCATTGCATGGAGAGAAAAAGCACGAAAACTTACCACGGTTATTGTAACCCAAAACCACTTGGGGCAACCACTCAGCATACTTTACGTCAGCACTGTGGCAGTCAGATCAGGAAGCGGAATTCGTGACAACCAGACACATCTGAAATTCGTACCTTAGATCACCTCGAGGCAAACGTTCTATTCTCTGAACAACCGAGACTCTTATGAATGCATTGTCCTGAACCGACAAATGATAGTGACTAAGGCCTGTACCTAGGCTTACATATTTTGATGTTATTTAAATCCAAATATGCTACGCAATTTAGTTTTTCCTGTTTTGTAGAAAATGGGCACCTATTTTTGAACGCTTGAAACATGCCGACAGTTATTTCTTATTCATAAATTTCGAAAACGAATAAAGTTTTCAATTAGGTAATATATTTCCTTTTTAATGTACTAACAAAGAAACACTTTATGATAATCTAGGGAAAATTTCTTCTCAAATAAGACTTTAGAAAGCATAAGGAAGAGCTAATGACGATTGGATTCAAGGAATTTTACCTAATGTATCTTATTTGCCTAGCAATGTTGGTGAATTTAAAGGAAAAATTATTAAACAGTGAACTTTATGAAAGAATTTCCCCTAAACATTATAAAGCTTCACGTTGTAAGTTATAAGATACAGTTAGTTCATTAAAAAAATACGTTTTCTTTTGGTTTATAGAAGACTGGTGTTCTGACGCTGAACTATTCAAATTTATTTTTACGCTCAAAATACGCTTTTCGCTTCCTCATCTTGTTCTCTTGCACTTCGCTACAGCGCTTGCGAGCACGTATCTTCCGACCTGTAGTCATGTGTATGACCTACCAGGGTAAGGTTTTTAATGTCGAAAAAATGGATCAAACTTTAAATCAATAAATCAAGAAAAATATACTGAGGATATCGTCCTAACATTAATTTATCATATAACGTTTCATCTCACTTTGTCTTATTGTATAAGTGAACGATAGCATAAGTAATTATTGAAATGTTTAAATTTCTTTTTCCTATAATGAAGATATTTTCAGCAAAGAAACTCAGCAGCTAGGGAATTCCTACAATTTATTTCTTTGCATATTAAGTTTTATAACATAACAGTAATTTTCATTGCATAAATATTTAAAGCATATTTATGTCATAAAAGGTTTTTTGAAAACATATGTTTACATCTTAAATTATAAAAATTTAGTATTTAAAAATAGCTCTTAAACACTACTTAAAAATGTCATTTTTAAGAAATGAAAAAATATAAACTGTTTGGTTTTTCTTGATGTAGGTTTTAAGGCATAAATTGTTTTCTTTATTGCATAATTATTTAAAGTATGTTAAGTGAAAAAAGGTTTTTTTTTTAAGCTACTTGTTCTCTCGATATTTGGTTTCAACATATGTAAAATAATAAGAAGAGTAGCATTTAAAATTTGACCCTCATAACTAAGCAAAAATTATATTTTAAAAATAGAGCAATTCAAGTTTTGAAGATTATTGTTTTATTCATTGATCAAAATGTTAAACCACACGTCAGACGCTTGCTAAGCAGAGACACTGATATAAATCACTTAGCAATTGAACCTGATGACAAACTAAGTTTATCAGTGTTGTGACACTTGAATAAGAAGGTGTGCACAATATTAAGGACGGAAGCGCAAGAACACATTATGCTGAAGTAGAAGAAAGTTTGATGAGGTCCTATTTTATCAAAGCAAATGCCTGCCAAAATGCATCCAAGACCTGCACCTGAAATATATACAGTTTTTCTTAAAGTCAAATTTTCTAATTTAATAAATATTTCAGAAAATGACGCAAAAATTTTAATTTTGATTCACTCTCGGTTGCAATATAGTATGAACCTTAAGTTATGTACGCCAATTTACCTGGCCAATTTATTAGCCGCACTCTAAGATTCTATGTAAAATCTTAATTATCAGGTGATACTATACAGCTTTATTGTTTTTACGCCACTGAAACCGGTTTGCACTTGTTTAAGTTCGTGTATGAAGTGGTCAAATTAGGCGATATATAACATAAATTCGACGATTGGATAAATTAGATTATATATTATATAAATATAGAAAATTTACTATATAAGGTATTATATTAGTATAGTATAATAATTAGACCAAATAATTAGTCGCACTGTAGTGTTTAAATAATTACGTGTTTCGCGCGAGTTTATATGCAATACTTTTATACTATTTAAACATGCATGTAATGAGTTTCTATTAAGGATATTTTCTTATACTTCCTATTTGTATTTATTTTTAACGTATTGTATTACAATGTTAATCAATTGATACATGAACATAAGCAAGTGCAAACCGGTTTCAGTCGCATAGAAACAATAAAGGTGGATAGTATCACCAGATAATTAAGATTTTAAATAGAATCATTTGAGATAGAAGGTTGAAGAAATAGGTTAAAGGTACAATATGGTTTTGTATCTTGGTCTACCATATATTGTATTTTGAACCATTCCATTGTAACATCTTGTAAAACAATCATTTTGATCTTTCGTCTTCTTCTTCTTCAGCACGACAGGCCTTGGCTGCCTCAACCACGCATAGCCTCTTATCCATGGCGACTTTTTTCCAGTTGTTAATCTTTATTACTTTGAGATCTTTAGTAGTGCCATCCAGCCATCTAGTTGGATGTCTTCCTCTGGCCCGAGATCCAGAAGGATTTTTAAAGGTGGCGATTCGTACTGCATTGTTTTCTGGACCTCTCCAGATGTGGCCAAGCCATCTTAATCTATTGCTTCGGATGACCTGCACTATCTGTGGCTGTCCATACAGTCTATATAGTAAGTCCTTTCGTCTTCTAGATTTAAAAGTCGGTTGAAGAATCATGTAATTAACAAATATGATTATATTTAATAAAATTTTCAAGCGGTCGGGATCAAGAAGCATAAAAGCAACTCCGAAATATATTTAATTGAATTATTTTTAAAAATTAATGAACTTACTACAAATATAAAAAATATCAAATCTTGTATGGATCAAAAATCATAAGGAGTTACAATTATGCTAACTAGTACTCAGCATTTGCTGCACTTATCTTGAACCAGTTCTAAGAGTTCAAACTTTTGTTATCTGGTAAAGCCCATCGAAAAGAAGTTAATTATTTTAAACTATTTTAAGAAGTTAATTAGAAGAAATTATATATCTTATAGGGAATGGCATTTTAGTACTTATAGTTCTCAATTACTTGTACTATAGGGTCTTATTTTCTGATAAATTTGATTGAAAAAAAATTATTCATCAAATTGAAAATTAAGTAAAACAGAATCTGAAATATAAATCTGAAAATCAAGTAAAATAAATCTGAAATGATCCCCAAGATAGTATACGATATTTTTGTTGCAAATATACTGAATTTTATGTACTAAATACAGAATCTTTCCGTTGGATGTGCAAATATTTTTAGTAATTACACACGGTGCAATGTCTTCTCTAATTCTTATAATCAATAAATAAATCCAATGATCAGATGTAAAACCTGAAAATATAACAATTAAATTCAGATTTTACGCATTCGTAACAAAATGCAATTTCATATTTTAAAATAGTTACTCAATTTAAAACTAGCAATTTTAGCTACCAGATTGTTTGCCTTTCAAATTTTCTTGTGACGGAGTAAAGATGATATTCAAATGCAGAAATTTTTAAATATCGTGTAAAGTGCAAGAAAACCATGTTCAAGGGTTTCAAGTCCTTCACGAGACTTTTGAATAACTCATAAATTTATCAATAATTTAATTTATAACTCTGAAACGTTTAATTTGGATTCCTTTTCCCCGTGAAATTAAACCCTTAAGTGGTAATTTATTTCTCATATTGTTTTTGTAAGTACGATTACATAAAAAACTTTCTTTATTTTAATTTCATGGCATTTTAATTGTTTTTCTTACTATTAGAATTAATTTAATGTTTATGGATTTTTATTTAATATCTCTAAAATTGGGAGAAGGGATAACAGATTTATCTGCTATATTTCATACTTTAATGGCTATAACTGATCAATATAAACGGATGTTTTAAAAAAGCCGCTTAAAAAAGCTCACCAATGATTTTGGTCATGCATGTAATATAAAAAACAACGGATTATATTAAAAAATTTTTTAATAAGTAGTAATTATCAGGTTATCGATAATTTAAAACTTACCTAAGCCTCCATGTGTCGTAAACAGAATTGATTGTGTTGTTGCTTCTGTTCCAGGTTTTGCTTTCATTTTTCCATACGAGGCAATTGCAGGAAAAAGAGTTCCATAAGTAAAACCATGCGTAATTTCAGCAGGAAGAACAAGCCATGGATTTTGCAGATAACTGTACCATAAAAAGCGCAAAGCATACGATATGAGGGAAAGAGAAAGGAGATTAAAATGTCCCAATTTCTTTATGAACCATCCTGAAAAAAACATGAAAGGTATCTCACCAAGAAAGCATTCAACGTACTGTGTCAATCCACAGAGGAATTTACTGGCTCCTAAGCTTGAAACAAACCATATTAAGTAAGACCACAGTAAACCTGCACTTATTCCATTGAACAAGACTCCAAATTCAAATGCAACGAATTCTACCGACTTTAGTACTCTACCAACGTCTTTTAGAAGATTCTGAGAAAAATGTGGTTTAGTAAGATATAATTGTGAAACATTCCACAAAGCCAGTATTTGCAGTACTGCCATAAACGTCCAAGATGCGTAAAAGTTACCAGTTAGGTCACATAAGTATCCGCTTATAGCTGCCAATGCCCCCCATCCAACTGCGCCAAACAATCTTTGTCTCCCGAATTCTCCCCCCAACTTCTGCACACTCTCACAGCAAGCTGTATCAGAAAGTGTAAAAACTGAACTGGTACATATACCAGCAAGAATGTAAAAAGCAGCAAATATCCAAAATTCGAAAGTGTGAAAATCATTTATTGTTGAAATTGTAGAATTATCGTTATCTTTTGTCAGCATAATTGTGCAAGGAAAAGTCTTGTTTGTCTGATAATCAGAATAGTTAGAATCTAATGATTGTAAACGAAAATACAACTTTTTGTTATACTGTTGAAAATGTTCATTTAAGTTGTCTGCACTAAAAGAATAAACTAAACAGCTGCAATTTAATTCAGATTCAAGGTAGAAATTGCTTATTTCTGCGTCAAGTTTTTTCTGAAAGCAGATCATTGCAGTGTAATTAATTTGTTGTACACTTATAATTTCTGAGAATGGGCTGTTATCTTCATTCCACAAGTCTCCATCTTTCTCTGGAGAGTTTGGAGAAGTAATTTCAACGGATGAAGTTTTGCTGTTAGGGTGATACCGGGTGGAGAGAATCACTGATTCGGACAATTTCTTGGAGTTTTCTATTTGATCGTATAATGTTAATTCTTGTGATGAGTTGGAGGGTTTTTTGATGGGAGGAACGGCGAGAATTAAAAACAGGAAAACTATTTGCAAAATGAGCAGTGTATTAATCATCAGTTTGAGCCTGTTGAAGTAATCGGCAATGTAACCAATTATTGGCTTTGAAGCAATTGTAATTAATTGCTTAGCAGCCAAGACAGCAGCTAGAGAAGTTGCAGAAAGACCGAGTCTGTTCTTTGCAACAACTGGGATGAATGGGTTTACTGAGGCTGTACCTAAAAATAAAAAAAAATTATAAATAAGAATGCTGTGAACAATTTAAATGTGGGTCATCTAAAAGCAACCCATCAGTTAGTTTTTATTTTAATTAGAAATTTGAAATAGCTACAACAATCGAAAAGTAGAAAATTTAAAATACGATTCACTACAAAATGAAGGAAATTCCCTTTGGCAAAATGGCTGCTGTCGAAATTTTTTTTTGGAAACGAAACTTTATTGTGTTTTCATCTTGGACATCTTTAACTGTTAATCCTGAACTGATCGGTAGACAATTTGGCAGACATATTTAAATGCAGCTCAGACACATTCTGTGTAAACTCTTTTGATGACTGAATAGATATTGAACTACCAATCAAGATAAATATGAACATTTTCGGATTGGTACAATGGTGCTTGATGGAGATCGTAAGCTGTATCATACTTCCAATTTGGACATACAAGTTCATATATGAAATAAGATTTGAAAGCTAGGCTTTTTTTCAATTTTACATGAATAGTGAATGAATCATTTATATTGCGTGGAAGATAGTCTACGGTCTTGTGCAAGTTATTGGGTACGTTGAAAATGGAACTTTTTATCCAGGGTGCATAGATAAATCTTTCAACAAAAAATAAGCACCCTTTAAGCCCTTTTCAAGCACTCAAAAATATTTTTAAGCACTTCGAAAAATATCATATTTAGACAGGGTTGGCAAGGTTTTGACAATTGATGGTTTTATCCGATTTCATTTGCAGTGACTAAGACGATGGCACGTCACAAACGAAGAAATTAACAAGAGAAATGAAATTTTCTATCACTAATAGAGCAAAAAAATTGACAATGTTTAGTTGGTCCCCGTAATCAGAAAAAATTCGCAGATTTTTCGATTCTATAACAGAGGGCGGAAAATGAAGTCTGAAATTAAGAATCTCTTGCAAAATGCAGCAGGGTTGAACATGAGAGTCAGAAATCCTGTTATCCCTAACTGATGATCAACACCCAGCTCTCGTATTTGCATGAAAGGGGTTCGGAGAGTCACCATTCACTCTTCGGTAGGATTCAATTCTCTCAACCACTTTAGTACTTTTGTGAAGGACAGGCTTCATGCTTGCGTTTTCGAACGGAATCCTTTCCTTTTTCTGCTTGTGTGTANTCCTTCTGTTTTATCTACAAAATGAAGGAAATTCCCTTTGGCAAAATGGCTGTTGTCTAATTTTTTTTTTGGAAAAGAAACTTTATTGTGTTTTCATCTTTGGACATCTTTAACTGTTATTTGTGAACTGATCGGTAGACAATTTCGCAGACATATTTAAATGCACCTCAGACACATTCTGTGCAAACTCTTTTGATGACTGAATAGATATTGAACTGCCAATCGAGATCAATATTAACATTTTCGGATTGGTACAATGGTGCTTGATGGAGATTGTAAGCTGCAACATACTTCCAATTCGGACTCACAAGTTCATATATGAAATAAGATTTGAAAGCAAGGCTTTTTTTCAATTTTACATGAATAGTGAATGAATCATTTACTCGTATATTGCGTGGAAGACAGTCTGCGGTCTTTTGCAAGTTATTGGGTACATTGAAAATGGAACTTTTTATACAGGGTGCGTAGACAAATCTTTCAACAAAAAATAAGTACCCTTTAAGAGCTTTTCAAGGACTCAAAAATATTTTTAAGCACTTAGAAAAATATCGTAATTAGACAGGGTTGGCAAGTTTTTGACAATTGATGGTTTTATCCGGTTTTATTTGCAGTGAATAAGACGATGGCGCGTCACAAACGATGAAATTAACAAGAGAAATGAAATTTTCTATCTCTAATAGAGCAAAAAAATTTACAATGTTTAGTTGGTCCCCGTAATCAGCAAAAATTCGAGAGATTTTTTGATTCTACAACAGAGGGCGGAAAATGAAGTCTGAAATTAAGAATCTCTTGCAAAATGCAGCAGGGTTGAACATGAGAGTCAAAAATTCTGTTATCCCTAACTGATGATCAACACCCAGCTCTCGTATTTGCATGAAAGGGGTTCGGAGAGTCACCATTCACTCTTCGGTAGGGTTCAATTCTCTCAACCACTTTAGTACTTTTGTGAAGGACAGGCTTCATGCTTGCGTTTTCGAACGGAATCCTTTCCTTTTTCTGCTTGTGTGTAACGCTTAAGGTATTCCCGTCTATGTTCTTTGGCTTTTTCAGACTCGGTAAGTTTAGGTCTTGGCATAGTTTTTTTTTTCTTGCTTCAACTCCAACTTTTGTAACAATGTCAATCAGTTTGGAGCCTCTTTATTTGTGATATTCACCTGAATTAGTATTGAAAACGATACAGTTTGAACTGTAGATTAGAATTTCTGATTCTTAAATAAAACAATAAAAACAAAAATATCGTTCAAATGATGAAATTCTCTTTTATTCACAACTCAAGAAGTATTTAATGGATCTCTCTGGTCCCATATTTCAGAAATAAACTCACCAACTTAATGCATAACAAAATTATAAGTGAAAAAAAAAAAGAATTCTAAAAAAAATTATCAAACAGCAGCGGTCACCATAGCAATGCATGCACATTGTTTACTATTACTCTTGATAATTGTAGTTGAAAAGTGCGGACGCCATGAAATCCAAACATCCAAACCGAGAGCCATTTTGCCAATGAGTAAAATATCCTTTCCGGAAGGTGAGAAAACTCGTAACACATTTTAATATTTTTTTTCCCTTTTGTTTGAACACTGGTAGCAAAACTATTTTATTATTAGAATTTATTTGGGTAAGAAGTAAAATATTAGTACACATCATTATCTTTGGACGCCTTACAAGAATATTTAATTACGGAATTTTTAAAATGTCCGGAAATTATGAATTTTTAGCATTCTTAATTAATTTAAAATGTGTAAGTTCGCCTTATTTTTATATAGCATGGGCTCAGGAAGGATGATTTTATATCTATTCCAAAAAAAAATTTGTCTTTGATCTCAGATTGAAACCATTTTTTAGAATATACCATATTATACCATTTAGAATATACCATATAGATTTACCATTTAGATAATATACCATTTAGAATATACCATATTTTTTAGAATGTACCAAATACTATTACTGTTTGTTCTTGCAGTGAGCTACATTTATATGAATAATATAAAAACCAATATGAAACTACTTAAACCAATTTTTTGGCAGTTCTTCTTTTGAAAAAACTTTATTTTCTAGCAACAATCATTAATAAATATGAAAGCAACTAAAATTCAGACTGAGTTACGCACTTCACCGTACATACTGCAATATCGCATATAACGTTAAGAAATATTGCGATATTTTTCCGAGTTAATGATAAACTTTATTTTTACAATTGGTCCAATTATCCCAATTTAATTAATCAGCAATCTAAATTTATTAGCACTTTAAATTGAATTTTTTTAACTGTCGCAATTCATGGTATTTTAATAGATGATCGATAATACATATAACAAAGCCGTAACTATTATTTATCTTTGTCTGTAATGCTAAAAATTATGCCATTGAAAATCATAATCTTTTGCTTGATATTTATTCATGATAATTTGTGAGAATGTTTAAAATATCGTTATCATGATTTTCAAAAAATATCGATGTATCCCCATACATTCCAAACTGAAATTAACAATAAGGGTTCAAAACTCTCAACAAATCTCCTGTCTGAACTATTGGAACTCTATTTTCCAGATTGTGGTTATCCTTCATACATCGAGGGTCAGAAATCCGATTGTATGAGGAAGAAAAGGTTTGTAACGAAAGTATATTTCTGTATCATATTTCGTTACGTAAAAAATCATCTGCATTACTGAATCATCATATTTAAGGTTTTACTTTCGAACCATAAAGTCCAATTACTCGGAAATCGGACAAATAAATCTAGAGTCATCAGTTCATTTTAAACTTTATTTTTTTCAATGGAACAATTCTTGTTACTTTTTTAAATTACTATATAATTAATATTTAAAAAAGAGTAATGAATAAAAAACAAAATCACTATCTTTCCACTTACCTCCGATAAATAAGAAGAAATGGATTTTGAACCTAAGCATTTCTTTGTCTATATGGAAAAAAGATTTCTTCTCTGCATTTCCTTCTGTTTTATCTTTTGGAGTTTTGACTGCAAGCACTGTGCACATCGTTTTTATTTTTTTTCTAACATTTTATGTTTTAAAATATGGTCTAAAAACAATAAAAATGCATTATTACAATAGAAATAGGTAAACGTATACACGACTGTCTGTAATCAGTGCTCTTAATGTAGATATTTAAAACTCTTGTCAAAAATAAAGTAAAAAAAGTACACATATTAAATATCACAAATTAAAAAAGTTTGAAAGAAATAAAATTGATATCGAAATAATTGAAATCGTTGATTAGGAAGACGAGATTAAAAATATTAAAATCAATTTGATTGTCTGATAACATTTTAAGGTTCTTCAAATAATTGCCTTTCAACTAAACACTGTTTCCCCCCGAAATCAAACAGGTTTTGATGTTTTCTGTTTTTTTATTGCTTAAATATTAATTTGTCATAACGTGTATACTTTTCCGGCCCCATTTTCGATAAACATTCGTTCTAAATATCTAATAATATGAAACATCGTAATGTTAATAAAATTTAATGAAGTAAATTGTTTGAACTTATTTCACAGATACCAACTCGTTGCTTTAGTTTCAAAAGCACTTTAATATATACTAGTGGGCTGCGCCCCCTGCTCGCTAACGCTCGCCAACCCCCGAAAATTGCTACGCAATCTTATATGGTTCGCTTCGCAAACCAAGCTCGCNGAATTCAAATAAATGACATGTAATTCGTTAAACGTATTAGAAATGTGCTATAGTATAAAATCTTAAGTTAAAATTTCTAAAACTGTTATCTCTTTAAAAAGGCTAAAATTTTGGCTATAATTAAGTCTATTAAAAATTGAAATAAGTGAATTACAATGGAAAAATCTGCATAAACAAATAAATTCTAGTTAAACAAATAAATTCGTGATATAAATCAAAAATCGTGAAATAAATTCGTAATATATAAATTCGTGAAAAAAAACGCTTTCGACAAAATACTAAAATAGAGATCTATCGACAAAGGCTACTCACTTCTGCCTATCTTATGCTCTCCCTGGTTATTTAGTTTCCGTTTTTAAAAGCGCTATATGTTGAGCCACCTGAGCTAGATTTGGCATGTGACATTTTTAGCGGCAATCATTTGTGGATTTTCTAGCGTTGCCATTCGTGGAGTTGTAATGAGGCTTTTTTTTTGTCGCCGTGTAAGAGAAATATATATATATAGATTCCTACACAGGAAGAGATAAATGGTAGCTTTTGCATTATTGAAAAGTTATAAAAAGTTTCCTCTCATTTTTCATACCATTTGAATTTTCTTTTTCTTTTCTATTTCAGCGTTTTTCAAGGTATTCCATAATTTTGAAGTGAAGTTTATATTGAAAATAATTTATTAATTTTCGTTAAATAGATAGTTCAAAAAATGAAATGTTGAAATAATAATAATTGGTACTACAAATAATTTTTGACCTAATAATCAGATTTTCGCTAGGATGCATTTTTAACCACTTGACCTGGTAAAAAATAATAATTTATAATTTTCGTTAAATACATAGTTCAAAAAATGAAATGTTGGAATAATGATAATTGACACAACAAATAATTTTTGACCTAATAATCAGATTTACGCTAGGATGCATTTTTAACCACTTGACCTGGTAAAAAATTCGCAAATGCACTTTAATAAAATGTCTGCTGCAACTCAATGTAAGGCACTTAAAAATCGGAACAATCTTTCTTTATTCCTGTCAAACGAATTATGAACGTTTCTGCAGACATGTAAAGTACGTCAATGGTGATTTTATAAAAAAAATTTTAGTGCTGCAAAGATGTGTCTTTGGGATTTGCCAAAAACAGAACAAGATTCAATTTAAATTTTTCAGAAACGAAATATTTTACTAAAAAAAAAAGAAAAAAAGAAATGAAAATGTACCATTTCCCATGACATGAAACTTTATCTTGGTAAAAGTACGTTTTGGAAATGTTCTTTCATTTGGAATCTTACTTATTAGAGTTCATATGGCGACCGCATCAGGTGAAAGAAAATAGAGATTGTTTTGAATTTATGTTAAGCTCTATATCGGCTCATTTTCCACCGCAATCCGATTGACTACTTTGATTTTAAATAAAGTGTTTTATTTTATGATTTGTCGCAAAAATTTTAAGTGTAGATTGGTGGCACTTAAAAACCGCCAAATCTGTAGCGGCGGTGGCGTTAATACGCAAGTACTAATTTTATCCCATACTTTTATTCCATTAATACGAATTTTCATTCCATACTTTTCTGAATCATATTACTTCAGACATTAGAATATGCAAGAAGTATACATAAACACATAATGTAATACCATCTAATTTTTCAAAAAAAGTATTTTGACAACAATTTTTATCAAAAAAGTATAAACTAAAAAACGTAAAATAAAGAATTCTTAGGATAAAAAAACGATTTTAAAAATTCCTCATATTGAAATTAAAACTTTCATATTGTTTCCTTTTTTAATTCTTATAGTTCTTAATCAGACGTAAAAAACCATTCTGTAGAGAACTATCCTCAAATAAGTAAAAAAATTATTTACAAGAAAATTTTTTATTATAAAAATCATAACACTCACCTGCTTTATAAATCCGCAGAATTCCAAATGAAATGTTCTTAGCTTGAAAATTTTATATTTAAATAATATATACATAGATAATCCCTTCATTACTTTTAGATAACATACCACACAGCAAAATTTCATAATTGTATAGTCTCGAAATGAATTTTAATATGTAACTTGAGAAACAGAATAGCTGAATTCTAATTAAAATTATTCTTTCAAAACTAAAAAATACTTACCAAGAAAGCGATAAAAGTTATTAATAATCAACCCAAATGATACTGTTTCAAGTAATTCCGATGATTCTTTATTGTTGTTTTCCGAATTATATAGGTACAGAAATATATACTATTCTATAAGGAAGTAGAATATTCTATAACTATTACAGTTCTGTACATTCTGAATTCACATTTATTCATTGGAATGACCAAAGCAAGGTTGACTTCACCTTAATTCGTAATGAATTGAAGACAGAAAAAATTATTTTACCGTAATACAAACATCTGTAACAAGAAGTGATCATGAAATCGGAAGTTATGTTGTTGGTTATTGAAAGGAAAAAATTATTGAGAAATTGTTCTTCAAATATTTGGCGAACTCTGGAGAGTTTTTTCAAGTTCTTCGGCTTTTTTCTTAGGGAAATTTTGCTTCTTATTTGCTGCTAAGAAAATAGCGTCCGTCTTTGCCAATGGTTATGATAGAACTAATTCCCGATATTTTCAGGCTCCCACTAGAGGGAGTACTCAAGCGTCGCGATAGCGAATATTTGTTTTATTTAATACTTTTTTTTGGTAGTTTTACAAGGAAAAGATAATTTTTGGACAAATTTTAGGCCACACAACGAGAATTTCTTTCACATACTTGGTTTATTAGTATGTTATGAAAATTATTTTATTTAACGGCAAGAAAAGTAATAAATTTTTTTTAGAAAACGATGGTGAAAGACAATAATTTTTAAATGCTTTCTGATAAACGATACAAATATTTTGATTTCAATTAGTNTTACTTCAAACATTGGAATATACAAGAAGTATACATAAACACATAATGTTATACCATCTAATTTTTCAAAAAAAGTATTTTGACAACAATTTTTATCAAAAAAGTATAAACCAAAAATCGTAAAAAAAAGAATTCTTAGGATAAAAAAACGATTTTAAAAATTCCTCATATTGAAATTAAAACTTTCATATTGTTTCTTTTTTTTAATTCTTATAGTTCTTAATCAGACGTAAAAAACCATTCTGTAGAGAACTATCATCAAATAAAGAAAATATTATTTACAAGAAAATTTTCTATTATAAAAATCATAACACTCACCTGCTTTATAAATCCGCAGAATTCCAAATGAAATGTTCTTAGTTTGAAAATTTCATATTTAAATAATATATACATAGATTATCCCTTCATTACTTTTAGATAACATACCAAACAGCAAAATTTTATAATTGTATAGTCTCGAAATGAATTTTAATATGTAACTTGAGAAACAGAATAGCTGAATTCTAATTAAAATTATTCTTTCAAAACTAAAAAATACTTACCAAGAAAACGATAAATGTTATTTCAATCAGCCCAAATGATACTGTTTCAAGTAATTCCGATGATTCTTTATTGTTGTTTTCCGAATTATATAGATACAGAAATATATACTATTCTATAAGGAAGAAGAATATTCTATAACTATTACAGTTCTGTACATTCTGAATTCACATTTATTCATTGAAATGACGAAAGCCAGGTTGACTTCACCTTAATTTGTAATGAATTGAAGACAGAAAAAATTATTTTACCGTAATACAAACATCTGTAACAAGAAGCGATCATGAAATCGGAAGTTATGCTGTTGGTTATTGAAAGGAAAAAATTATTGAGAAATTGTTCTTCAAATGTTTGGCGAACTCTGGAGAGTTTTTTCAAGTTCTTCGGCCTTTTCCTTAGGGAAATTTTGCTTCTTATTTGCTGCTAAGAAAATGGCGTCCGTCTTTGCCAATGGTTATGATAGAACTAATTCCCGATATTTTCAGGCTCCCACTAGAGGGAGTACTCAAGCGTCGCGATAGCGAATATTTGTTTTATTTAATACTTTTTTTTGGTAGTTTTACAAGGAAAAGATAATTTTTGGACAAATTTTAGGCCACACAACGAGAATTTCTTTCACATACTTGGTTTATTAGTATGTTATGAAAATTATTTTATTTAACGGCAAGAAAAGTAATAAATTTTTTTTAGAAAACGATGGTGAAAGACAATAATTTTTAAATGCTTTCTGATAAACGATACAAATATTTTGATTTCAATTAGTTTTGATCGTATCAATTTTTTGATTTGTTATGAATTTGTTATGATAGTTACAAATAGATAGTTTCCATTCGATAAAAATTTTCCGAATTTCTCATGCTGTGCAAATTTTCATTTCAGAGGAAAGGCAGAAAGAAATTTACACTCAGCTATCTCGTGAATTAAATTTCCTAATACATTTTCAACAGTGAAGAAAGGCTAGGATATGAAATATTTTAAGTAAATTTTATAATCAACGTATTAAAGAAAAAAAAAGGGGTTAAATTAAGCCATGAAGTCGTATTTTATAACACATATTTTGTCTATGCTTAATGAATCACTCCTAGTGTTTTACTATGTATTAATAAATAGGAATACCCCCAATATAATACCTTCTAAAGACCAAATTTTATGAAAAAATATTGAAAGGCAGGGGTGATTGTACCCCGGAAAAAATCCGGATTTCCGGAATTTTCGCTAACAGTGATCTGGAAGTTTCCGGAGATCGAAGGTCCAGACGTTTCAAAATATCATTTATCACAGAAGTTTCCGGAAATCAAATTTTCAAAGGTGGAACTTAAAAACACAGTTTATTTTATTTGTTTGTAAGGGAGAGCCAGAGAGATACTTTATAAGCTTATATTCATGATTAATATTCATTTTTTATCAGTAAATAGTT